CGCCGCCGCCGCCGCCGCCGCCGCCGCCGCCTTCGGAATTGAACGTTGAGTCTGGAAAGAGAAAGTGCTGGAATTTTGTGGCACGCTTTTTTTTTTTAATTGGAAGAATTTAGAGTTTACGGTTGCTGTCTCCAAAACTGCCTCTGAAGAGTCTAGTCCTTAAAACTCGTAAGCGACCAAAGGGATAAGCCCCAAGGTATCACAGTGACTACTCTGCAGCTGCAGGACTTGGAAAACAGTAACAGATGTAAAAACATTAGGAACTGATTTTTTGCTGTCCTATTCTTAGCCTCTATTAAAACATTTCTACATACTCTGCAGTTTTGTATAGGGACTTTTCAAGTCTGTGGAAACATTTTGTGGAGTGCACCAAATTTGAGCAGAAGGAATGTTGTGAACGTTGTTTCCTAAAATACCTCCTTCCCTTTATCCTTAAACCTTCCAACTGCTCTCATCTTTCTCTTCACAGATACACTCTTCCAGTTAAAGGTGAGTGCCAGTGCTATGAAATATGCTTTCCTTAAGGCTTAAAAATCAGAATTCTTGCAGCACAATTAACAGAGATCTACCCTTTTCACAATAAACATTAGGCAACTGCTGTATTTGGTTGGGAAACACTGTCCTCCTTGGACAGAGAATGTCTATTTTTCTAGGAGAACAGTTCCTAGTCTGGTTTTGTCAAGAAATCTGAGAATGGCAGCTACTCTTGAAGCCACCTGGAGCTGCAGGGGGTTTAGCTGACCCAGCAAATGGCCTCACTTCTGTCCATCATGCCTTCAGTGCGTATCCCTCCATCTCTGTCTTTTAAAACTTGATTGACCTTCTCGGGGTCTGTGAGCTTCATGTCACTGCAGTTAAATGAGGCTTCAGATGGAGGACTTCTGAGTATGCCCCAAACCAAAGAATTGCTTGACATTTGCAGTCTAAAAGTGGTGGATTATAGAGTCTTCTGCCCTTTATTTGCAGGGAAGGAGTGCCCTGATACTGAATCAGTCCTTTGGGGAGCCACAAACAGGCAATGGCACACCATTGCCATCGCCTCATTTTTCTCAGCATTGGGTATTCAGACAGCAGCTGTTTCTGGGTTTGGAGGCAGCAGCGTGTAATCATTGGAAAGACCCATTGTCTTTTGTGGTATCAGAAGGGAGGGGGAAAAATCTTGTTCACTTTCTGTGTCGCAAACAACTTTATTGGCCTCTGCCAGCCAACTTTCCTTGCCTTTTTTTTTTGTAAATGATGAAGTCCCAAATCTTGTAACCCTTCCATATGGAGAAGACCTTGTTGGGGAACTGCTCTAGTTCCCTGTTTCCCTTGTCAGTGAATTTTCTAGCTTTGCAATACTGTTTGTGGAGGTATGGTGACCAGAAAGGTTTGTCATGCTGAATTAGACTTATAGTTGATACCCATCTGTCCTGAAAGTCTTGGGTAGAATCTGCTTTTCTCTCTGTTACTCTTACAGCCACGGTGTTTCCTTTGGTACCTGGTTATGTGCCACTGGATCAAGTGGGTCATTTATTCCTCTGCTGTATCCAGAGCAAGCAGGAATTGGGGGGCTGGGTATCTGCTCTTGCCTATAGGCTTGCTGAACATCTGCTTCTCTCTAGTTTACAGCCAAGCAGCTGGAGAAGCTTGCCAAGAAGGCAGAAAAGGACTCCAAAACGGAACAAGCCAAAGTCAAGAAGGTGAGGGGCCTGAATGCCAATGCTAGAAATAATGGATGGTGATAACTCTTGAAAACTGAGTTGTTTCTCTGTTAGAAAGGGCTCTGTTGCCCATCAAGACTTTGAGCTGCCCCACTTCTGTTACCCATCAAGCTTCTAATCTTCTGAGTCTTTGATATTAAAGACTGTCTGTGGGTACTTTCTCTCTCTGCTTAGCATGAACATATCTGCTTTGGATCCTTGTGTCTGTTTCCATCTTCCGTGTCTTTCTGAGCTTGAGGACCCACCCTCTTTCCATTCCACCCCCCTGCTTTCCTTTTTCTTCCTCAGTTCCAGAGCAAATTAGTTTCTAGAATACCCTCGGTTCAGTCTGCATTGCTGCATCTATTGAAATTTGATCCTTTTTCTTTCCCTCTACTCTTGATTTTGTTTGGAGAAACTGTGAAGCTTGGATCTGAGGGATCTTCCCTTTCTTGAATTCTAGGCCCTTCAGCAGAAGAATGTGGAATGTGCTCGTGTCTACGCAGAGAATGCCATCCGAAAGAAAAATGAAGGCTTGAACTGGCTCCGCATGGCTTCCCGTGTAGATGCGGTGGCCTCCAAGGTCCAGACAGCTGTGACCATGAAGGGGGTAAGGAGCTGTATTTTAATACATGGCTTTTCCTTAGTCCCTTTGAATGGGTAGAAGTTTTCCTTGTCTAAGGGTACAAAAGATAATCTACACTAAACTGGTGCCTTCCAGGTGGTGGATAGCTCCCATAATTCCCAACCAGCTGTGCTGCGTGGGAGTGATGCTATATTGATACATGAGCAGGAATTACCCATTGGACTTCCTACCCGGCCAACTGGCCTCTTCTTGCCCCATCTGCCCTTTGCCACTCTGCCTGAGTCCTTTTCAGCCAGCAGCTCCCAAAAGACTCAGCCTGAGCTTGACTTGGTGGCCATGAGTCTCTTCCTGCCTCAGGGCTTCCAGGACTAGAAGAGGATGAAACCACGCAGCCGGGACTCCCTGGGAAGTTTCCGCTGAGTGGCCAGTGCATGTTTTTCTGCTGATCATGGCCATCTGGGGCACATCCTCTTCAGGTCTGGCCCCAGCTTGGTGTGATTCTGCTAAGGTAGATGCACCTCCTGACTCTCTTGCAGGTAACCAAGAATATGGCCCAGGTGACCAAGGCCTTGGACAAAGCTCTCAGCTCCATGGACCTTCAGAAGGTTTCTGCTGTGATGGACAAGTTTGAGCAGCAGGTCCAGAACTTGGATGTCCACACTTCAGTAAGTGCTGCACGCTGACTGCAGAATGGGATGCTGAGCTTCAGAGCTGGGGGTTGGGAAGCAATGTTTTCACACCCTCCTGCCAGTGAATCTGCTTCTGCTCTTCTCTAACCTTTGCTGCCTTCTCTGCATGCTTGTGGAAGGGTTTGGGTGTCTGTGGGAATTCCCTGCTTAGCAGAAATGACTCCAAACCAAGCAGGTGGCCAGATTATGGGCAGGCAGGCCTTGAAGCAGGGCTAAAGGGAGTCCGGTGTTAAATCTGCTAGCTGGTGCTTTGCCTGATCACTGCCAGCCCCTGTCACGGTTCAAGTCAGTGGCACACGGAATGGAGCTTGTGGGAGTGCAGCACCACATTCCACCCTTGTGCCACGTGCTTTGCTGTTGGACAGGAAGAGGCACCCTCATTTCCTGTTCCCGGACTACTTGGACAAAAGAGCTGGAGGTGGCCACCCACTTCTTGCTTGGAGAGAGGTCGAGGGAGGACAGAGGGATGATGGCTTGGGTCAGTGAGAGGACCTCTGTCCCTAGCAAGAGGTGGGTGAATTTATTGACCTTCAACCTGTCCTGGGATGCGATTTGTTCAGATTGTCTCGCCTTGGCTGCTGCTGCTTGTATATGTTCAGTCCGTCACCCAGCTTCCACCTTGGGTCCCCTCAGGTGATGGAGGACTCCATGAGCTCAGCCATGACCTTAACCACGCCCCAGGAGCAAGTGGACAGTCTGATAGTGCAGATTGCCGAGGAGAATGGCCTGGAGATTATGGACCAGCTGAACCAGCTGCCCGAAGGGGCCTCGGCCATGGGCGAGAGCTCTGTGCGTTCGCAGGAGGATCAGCTGTCGCGGAGGTTGGTCTGCTTCCCTCTGTCTGCTTGCAGGATTGGACCTCCGGCTGGCTGCAGTCCATCTGGCAGCTCCTTTGGTCCCATAAGTCTAGAACGTGCCAGGCAGGTAGCGCTTTCCAAAAGGTGAACAACATAACATGCTTAGCCAACACAGACCCGAAAGAATGGGACTGAAGAAGGAAAACAGTTGGCCTGCTGAGGGCTCCTGTCCCGCAAGGTCTGCTGCTGCTCAGGGGCTGCATTGCTGGCTTTCCCTGCTCCTTGCCATGGTTAATCCTGGAAGATCTGCCTGGCTTGTGATGATGCCAGAGGTGTAACCGGCCCTGTCGTGTGCCATCGTTCCTCACTTATGCTCACAGGCTGCTAAGAAATGCCTTTGAGCTTCATCTCCATTAAGGGAATGGCTGCTTCTCCATGTTGCTTTTCTGGAAAAACGTCCCTGCAGTTGTACAAGCCAGTTACACATCTTGTGAAAAAGTATTGTCTATCTTGGAGGCATCTCATTTCTCAGTGTCGCTGGGTGATATCCTCCACCCCCAATCCTAATTCAAATTTTGTTGGAGAGGGGAAAAGCATTTCTGCACCTTTCCCACACCATTTATCATTTCACAAGCCCCTCCCCTTTTCTTCTTTTCTCATCTTTTCCTCATTATGATATAGACGCATATTAGTAGCAAACCACAGCCCTGGATCAGGAGTAAAACTCATCCATTGCTTTGTTTGTTTGATCTTGGCTTAGGGTATTGTGAACTCATCCATTATGGCTTGGCATTACACATGGACCAGGCCATTGTGGCTTGCTCAGGAAATTAGAGTTGAAAGAAATCCTGGCTGAGCATTACCCATGAACACAGCCTGAATCTGAGTTAATCCTTAATTAGCTGTGATGGAGTGGAATTATGAAGGCCA